ACCACACCAGTTTTAGCAGCATCAAAGTATGAGAAGCCACTCAAATCAGCTGTTGATGCCAGCAACATTGGTGCCACTTTGCAACAAGTTGCTTGAAATTCCTGTGTTATTCATCATAATCGGTATTTAATTTTCTTTATGTGCAGAAGTGTTAACTTGGCCAGAGTTTTCCAGATGAAGGGGTTTCCCAGCCCAGCATGCCAAGAGCCAATGGCGAACACAGCACCATGGATACAGTTACCCTGCAGATATTTAACATTCCAATGTGTATGAATTTACTGGAAATGATACATCTCTTTGTCACTGGAAGCACTCTATTTCCAGCAGTGCTAGAACATGGAGTAGACTGCTCGGAGATTAAATGCAGTTCTCAGAGTCTAGGCCCAGAATCCAGGACCTGGTAAGCATGGCAATCCTCAGGGGGTGTAAGGGAAGATAAGGCCTGTTCGATGATTTGTGTGGAGGCAGGGGACGTCAGTGTGACAATGTTGGTTAGGGGCTGGGATAGAGAAGGGGGAGTCATATGAAACAGATCTGAATAACTGTAAAAATGGTGGGAACATCTTCACAGCTCTGATCTCATCATTACATACAGGTCAGAGATAAACATCTCAAACTCTAAGAAGACAGTGCAGCCTCTAAACTACAGCACAAAATCAAATCCCTGGGAGGAGGTGGGTGTACACAGGCTGAAAGTTGGCAGTTTACAATCTCGACGGTGCCTTCCAGGTGGTGTCAATGGAAGATCTTCTCATTGGCATGTGACAGTTGGTGCAAGAGCTACTTTGTTTGTACATTGTAATTACCATTATCCTGTATGCCTGATATGCTTTTATCAGGATTCCCACTGCCAAGACTTTGCCTCGCTTTCAGGCAGAGAAGATAGTGTTGGACCAGACAGCAGCAGCTATTTCAGAGATAGGAGCAGTGGGAGAAGGCCTTGGTATGATTTGAAGGAGGACGATGAGAACACAAGGCATTGCCCCTCTCCTGAAGAACGTGGGGCCTTTATTTACATATTCTGAGGTCTTTCACCAACAGATTCCGGAATGTAAGATGGGAGGCAAATCCCTGGGAATTGTCCTCATGCTCATGCTGCTTTGGGTGGGGAAGAAAATTCCCCATTAAGGGAATGGAACAGCAGGATGATGGAGGAGAATTGTCCCGTCCACCAACAATTCATGCTAATGCCTGAAGCTTTGGACAAGAAGGCCATTCATCTCCCTGGAACAGTACCAAGCAGATGTCACATTCCTCAGACAGAGAAAAACACTCCATACTACTGCTTGGAAACTGAATACTGTGCCTCAAATAAAGGCAATACAAAACAAGCAGCACATAAAAGGTAATCTTCCTGTTTAATTGGTCCTGTATCACTTAAGTCAGCAGTGTTGAGGTTTTATAAGGCTCTTGTCAGACCGCATTTGAAGTATTGCGAACAATTTTGGGCCCTATATCGAAGAAAGGATGTACTGGTTATGAGGGATCCAGGGGAAGTTTAGAAAAATGATCCTGGGGATGAAGGGCTTGTCATATGAGGAGAGGTTGAGGAGTGATGGAGTTTAGGAAGTTGAGGGGGGCATCTAATGAAACTTGCAGAATATTGAGAGGCCTCGATAGAATGGACATGGAGAAGATGTTTCCACTAGTAGGAGAGACTAGGACCTAAGGTCACAGCCTCAGAGTTAAAGGACAACCCTTTAGAATTGAGATGAGGACGAATTTCTTCAGCCAGAGGTTGGTGAATCTGTAAAACTCATTTCCACAGACAGCTTTGGAGATCAAGCCATTGGGTTTATTTAAGACAGAGAAAGATAGATTCTGGGGATCAAGGGTTACATGGAGAAGGCAGGAGAATGGGGTTCAGAAACATATCAGACATGATCAAATAGTGGAGCAAACACAATTGGTCAAATGGCCTACTTCTGCTCCTTTACTTTATGGTGTAATAGTTAAGGAAACTGTATTTAAATTATATTTAGAGTATTCATGTTGTACAATTATTTTCTCATTGGAAGAATGCATTGTCTTTTGAGTCTTTTGTTTTGAATACACCAGGCAATGCATTGAAAACATTTCACTGGGCCTACATGCTGACAGCAATAACATGCAAAGAAATCAGCACTTTCCTTGTAAGGAATATGGGGCCAAATTTTTTAGGGAGTGACAATCTCAAGCAGATTGCAACGATGCCCCTTTTCTCATGAAAGGAGGGAGCTCCATATTTCTGATCTCCATAGTTTCGATCAGGGCTCCTTCAGAAATCTGGAGCTGTACTTCCATCTGACAGTTCAAAACTGTTAGAGGAAGTCAAATCACACCAGCTTTACACAGCAGTCAACTACCATATTCTGACGTTTTAATGTCACGACGCCCACTTTGAGAGCTGTCAAACAGGATATTCACAAGATAAAAGTGATGTTAAGGTGCTGGAAGTTTAGGGTGTCAGATCAGTAGGGTTGTCAGATGCCAAGTGGTAGGCTTTCAGGTAAGTAAGGAATGGGGTACAAGGGAGGTAGGATGCCAGTGGTAGAGTCATTCAGCATGGAAACAGACCCAACTCATCCATGCCAATTTTCCCAAACTAAACTAATTCCATTTGCCTGCATTTCGCCCATATCCCTCGAAACATTTCCTATTCATGTACCTGCCCAAATGTCTCTTAAATGTTGTAATTCTACCTGCATCTACCACTTCCTCGGGCAGCTCATTTCAGGACCTGCCTCTCAGGTCCCTTTTAAATCTTTCTCCTCTCCCCTTAAAAATATGCCTCCTAGTTTTGAAGTCTCCTAGTCTATGGAAAAGACCTTTGCTATTCAGCTGATCTATGCTCCTCATGATTTTACAAACCTCTATCCCTCAACCTCCTACACTCCAGTGAAAACAGTCTCAGCCAATCCAGCCTCTCCTTATAACACAATGCTTCCAGTTCTGGGAACATCCTGGTAAATCTTTTCTGAGCTCTCTCCAATTTCCTATTGAAGGGTGACCAGAAATATGCACCGTACTCGAAAAGTAGCGTCACCAGTGTCCTGTACAAACATGTCAGCTGGATATGGATGAAAGCCAATGGGTAGGGGAACAGGAGGTAGGATGCCAGATGGGTAGGGTGTAAGTAGATTGGCAGGTTCATAGGGGTTAGTGTGCCAGTGTCAGGAAGTCAGGTCATAGTGTTTAGCTTCGATTGCAATTAGTGGAAAAATTTTTGAGTGTGGCAGAGGTATGGGGAGGGTAGATGTTGGGACCTCGGGTATGGAGTAGGGGAATGGTTCAGTGGCAGTGAAAAGGAGTCGAGGGTGGAGTGGGGAAAAGGATCCAGCAGTAGGGGAAGGGAGTTTTGGTGTGAAGCTTGAGAAAGAGGGCTGGCTCTGAGGAATGAAGAGGTGTATTGGGTACGTTGTAGAGGGAGGGAGGGACTATCCAGGGGTGGGATAAGGGGGAGTAGGGTATGGTGAGGAGTGGTAGTGGGAGAGGGTCAGATCAGGTAGTGGGGGAAGGGGTGTCGGGTGCAGACTGGAGAAAGTTAGAGGTCAAAGGTCACCAGGGGAAGGCGAGGATGGTGTGGTGCAGGGGAAAGGGTGCCAGGTCCTGGGAATGGGTGCAATCAGGGTCTGGGGAGTGTAGGGGGTCTGCGGTAAGCGTAGTTGGGGGCACATGAAATAAATGTGGGTTCAGTTCAATAGTTCCTCAGGAATTGGACTAGGTATTTGGCAGCCTAACGTTTCCTAACTTAGTTTAGTCGGAAACCTCCAAATTCTCTGATTTAAATGGATACTTTCAGACGATTCTGGGCACAGATGAATTCAGCAGTGGCATTTTCAATTTCCCAGGCAATTCCTTTGGAGTCTGTTACGACGGGTTTTCCACAGGGTCCCCATGCACCACCATTCTGAATGTGACTTAAAGATGCCTTTGCACTGTTCAACTTGCAGGGGCTTCTCCATGTGCCCTGGCTGACACTCTGTCCTCAGCTATCAAAGGACAATGCAATATATTTTGTTCCCTTAACTTAGAAGGATGAAATTAAGCTATGGACACTACTCCTGTTCCCTATTAAATGCTGGTGCTAACAGGGGTCAGTCAGCTCAGTTGGCAACAAGGGGAGCCCAGGAGCCAGGAGGGATTAATGCGAGAAGAGTCCAGGAGCTGGGAGCCTGTTCCCCCTCTGTCTCCCTCGCACACTCACCCGGCTCTCATCCTCCACACCCCTTCCCCCACCACCCCCGCCGTGCCTTCCGGTTCTTACCCAGTCACAATGACCCACCCACTAGCCCTCTAGTCCCGATCTCTGCCCTCACTCTATCCTCTCCCGATTCTAGATCCCCACTCTGGACATGTCCCACTGAGATCTGGGTGCAGGTGATTTAAAGTGCCACATAGCACACATGTATCAGTGTCAGCAAAGGCAGTCTGTAATGCAGACAGGCGCGAACAGCACAGGTTCAATTCCTGGAACAGTTGAAGTTAACATGAAGGTCCCACCTTCTAAACCTCACCCCTTGCTTGTGGCATGATAATCCTCATGTTAAACTACCAGCAGTTGTCTCTCCCTAATGAGAGTGGGACTACAGTGACTTTGCCTTTGCTTTCAATATGTATATGAATTTTAGATGAGGGCATATTTAGATTTATATCTGATATGCCCTTATCTAAAGTTCATATTCTATCTAGATTTATATCTGACAGATTTGTGGAGGGTCCTGTCAATGCTATATATAAAACACAAATAAAAACCATTCAGAAGACATACTGGACAAACAGCATCCTGAACATGAAACAGTTTTCCAAAAAGAAGTGAATAGAGGTAAAAATCACTTTTCTCATGTATGAAACTGGGGATTTGTAGATTTGTTGCCCACAAAGAAAGACTAACCCACCAGAACATGTAATGACCGGCCAATCCATAAGTATTCATTTTCCATCCATAACCAGTGAAAATCAATCCCAACAATGCTAGAAGGGAGACAGGAAATTAGAATAAAAATGCTGAGCATTTGAGATGTTTGAAAGTAAACCTTATTAAAACCTTTATTTACTTTCACGCAGAATTGTAACAAAATGTAATAAAGCTTCCAGGACTCATAAATAAAACATATATAAAACAGGACATTAACCTGCAAGGATAAAGGATTTTTCACAGTTGGGTGTCATGACACACACATTTTGTTTGTTTACAGCTCAAGATGATTTCAAAGCAATGCACTTTTCTTGAGGAAGGCAGCAGACATCTGTCGAACAAGCTTTGTTTTTCCTTTTAGCTGGATTAAGCAAAATATTTTTCTTTATATTTCCAAGTAAGATAAATCCTGCTGTGTGGATAACTGCAATAATCAGTGTGCTACTAAACCACAAATTTAGTCACTTTTATAATACAGGTCACAGCTGACTATTTTTCCTTTTGACTCACTTCTGATTTCTCCAAACAATCCCCAGGTCCAGCTGATTAAGGTGGAAGTGAAGAGTTCCTGACAAAAGAATTTGGAGATAACTGAATATAAGTTTCTGCAGGTAGAACATTTTGTATAGCAGCTTGTTTTGCCTACAGACAATTGGATTTCTTCTAACTGATTCTTACTTGGAAATCTCTGATACCACCAGGGTATGAGACTGCTCCCAACCATTACCTCAGTCAGGATTTGAAAGGAACAAGTGAAGGCATTCTTAATAAGTATACGCTGTATAAATTATAATGAATAGCCAACAGTACCACAAAAAAAACCTCTGTCAGCATTTTCGGATGGAGATACTACAGCACATGTTAAACTATAATCTCTTGTTTTTTGGAATAAAGTCTACCCTTAGTATCACAACTGTATTCTCTTCACTCTACTTCAGACAATGGAGCATCACTGTAAATCCACCCTCGCCCCACCACGACATAGCTATATGTAAATGCTTTACACTCCTGCATAACTGTTTCTGTGACATTAGCACCACGTACGTACAAACTTTCCTGTTTGACCTCAGCCACAGCAATGAAATGCCATGTAAGTGCACATTTCACTTTATTACAAATCATCCATTTTTCTTAATACAGTGGCTCGCATGGAAGCTTACATCTGTCTCTTATCTATTATCCTGCTTAACCTAGATACTGGGAGTCAGGGTCATTGAAAGTGATTGCCTACACATGCTGTACAGGAGACTCATATCACTGATGGCCTTCATGCCAGTTTGTGCCTTGGCTATGCCTCCTATTGTCCATTGCTGTATAATTTTACATAGAATCAACTGGAGAACTGCTACGTGCTGCTGTCCTAAAGAATGGCATTACCTTGCAGCTTTGATTCCCAGTTGACTTGTTTTTCATTTGATTCCTCATCATCTTCCTCTTCTATTGGCTGTGTCCACCTTCACTGGTGGATCTGCAGGGGAGGTGGGCAGAAGCTAAAAATACTTTAGTGCCACACACTCAGAATGAAGAATTTGGAGAAGGTGGTGCAAGGTGACACCATGACTGTAGAGCAGCTGCTCAGTCAGTATACTCGAGTGGCTAAAATGCCACCATGCTGAACACTTTCCATGGAAAGACCTCCATGATTATGTCTTGGACAGCCAGTAATATTTATGATCAGAGAAGTCCCATGTCCTCAGTGCTGTGCTGTAGACAGCAAGTCCTTCAATTGAAGATTGTGCACCATGTGGCAGAGGATGGGGAAGTGACAAATTTGAAGGTATGAGGCTATTAAATTTGAGGAAGGGGTTTGAACTTTTTACATGAAATTGCTATGAGAGGAACTGGATCACACAGCACTGTGAAGGTTCATTGAACAAGTCCATTTTAAGAAGGCTAGGAGTCTTGTTATTTTATTCATTCACAGGATGAGGGCATCACTGGCCAGGCAGCATTTATTGCCCATCCCTAATTGCCCAAAGGGCAGTTAAGAGCGAACTACATTGCTGTGGGTCTGGAGTCACATGTAGGCCAGACCAGGTAAAGAGGGAAGTTTCCTTCCCTAAAGGACATTAGTAAACCAAACAGGTTTTTGCAACAATCTACAATGGTCATCATTAGACTGTTAATTCCAGATATTTACTGAATTCAAATTTCACCATCTGCCGCAGCGAGATTCGAACCCGGGTCTCCAGAACATTGTATGGGTTAATACCACTAGGCCAATTGGTCATCCCCAATTGGTCTGCTGGTGCCCACAGTGGGCAAGAGGAGAGATGTTTGAAATAGGCTATATTACTTAATCAGTTCAGGCTGTGGCATTTTTATGGCACTCCTCTCTAGTCTAGGGTTGGAAAAACTAAAACAATGTTGGAGCTGCTTCTCATCAGGGGCCTGTCCACGTTGCTTTCAATAACCATCAAGAATGGCTGAAAACTCTGACTAAAAGTGTACATTCCTTGTCTCTAGTTTGGTTCCGTACCCTGCCGCTTTCTGGGTACTCATCAGGTATGATTTAAAAAATTGTTAAGACAGGTAGTGAAATTATTTGTGAGTGAGTGAGCACTGCTCCTCACTTTTCTTTTTGTCAACCAGTCTGTTAGAAATTGTTTTTAAAGGCTGTGTGTAGGTTTGCGGGCTATTCACTTGCTTGCAACTGTTTTATGCAATTTTCATACCAGCACTTACACCGATGGAAATGCAAATGAGGAGACCCAGAAAACCTGTGTGTAACTGCCTCGATAAGTTTCCAGTGTACATAAATTTTTAAAGTTGTAACAGCAGAGTAGCTCAAGCAATTTCCAAGTTACTCAAAGACTGTGGTTCTATTCCAATATTTGCAGCAAACAATCTGTAGAAATAAATTTAAACATAGCAAGGTTCCAAGTCTGAGAAAATCCTAAATTATTTTTACCAATTCCCAGTGTTTTTGGCAGATCTTCACTGCAACCACACAGTTTAGTGTAGCAAGAGGCCTACCTCAACACTAGCAACTGGGATCAAGCTCTGGAGACCTGCAATCCTCCTAGGTGAGTTTTAAAGAATTGCATAAACAAATAATTTAAAAGTAAGCAGAAACTTTACAATGCTACCACAGAATATACAATTTTTTCCAAATACATTACATAATATTTACAGAAAGGAGAAATGGTGCTGATGGTAGTTCTGTGGTTAATAAGGAAACGCATCATTAGTAGGGTATTTCCAATACTCACAGCATGATTCAGAAGGCTTGGCAGAGGAATTGGTTCATGAGTAAACTTTTGATATGTACCAATTTGATTGAAATCAAACAATTCCTCATGCTTTAAGGATCTGGTAATCTGTGCTTCTGTTTAAATAAGACTTGTGCTTTTTATTCCGTTCACTTCTTTATCTCCTGTTTCTTCCTCCTGAAACCATGTAGTAATTGCACAAGACACTTTACCCTAGTAATTCCCAAAATGTTAGTCTTTACAAGTAACTTCTTACAGGATCAGTGTATAAAGATCTTTGGTACCAGCAGAAAGGGCACCTTTAACTTTTTACAGTTCACATTCAGCACACTACATTAGACAACTGCTTTACATTCATTGAGCTATAAAACTACGAACGACACCGAACTGGGGTGTTAACAGACCTTCAGTCCTCTCATGACTCTTATAACTGATATAACCCTTGGCTGATTCACATAAGTAGAAAGAATGTTGTGGCTTGAGACTGTAACTCAGATGTATAACACTTTGAAAGCACTTTGGCATTGATTGCTTACTGAGACAGCTGCTCAAGACAAATACTGACCTCTAGTTAACACTGAGCCTGATTATTTCTCAGGTCTTCTAAGGCTACAACAAATGCAGAGCCCTACTTCTGATGACAGTGATCACAGGCCTGAACCATTCTGTCAATCAATATTCAATCATTGTTAACACATCACTGCTTGATCTTTGCTCCTCACAGTGCGATTATATTTATTATTTCTTCACAACAATCTGAGGCTGTAAACGCAGCTGGGCGAATGGGCACTTTACAGCATTGCTGTAATTTTTACTGAGGCGTTATCTTTTCACATAAAATCTATAGTGTGCAAATATTGCACTAGCTCTGGTTTTTAGCTGTGACTTCTAGGGTTACACACATTTCCCCGTTGTTAGCTTCAGAGCTCCTTTGTCATGTAAAGATTTTAATGTTTTGAATTCCAGTGGCATCCGATGTGGCCCAGCATTAGAAAAATATCTATACTTTAGGTTGTCATAGTAGTGGTATTTAACTGGTACTCCTTTTGAATCTTTAGGGAAGGGCCAGTATCCATAAAGGTGAATTTCATCACAGAATCGAGTTGCAAGTGTGTACATCAGTAAGCCAGTGCTTGGTCGCTTGATGTAAATCTTGTTTGTCAGCCAGTATCTGTATGAAAAACATATAGAGATATTGATAAGTTAGAGTAAATTCCTTTGTATTACATTTCAAAAATGGCCAGGAACACTCCTAACATAGCCTCAGCACCATATAAAAGTGATGTGCTTAAACTTCATCTACCCAAATGCACTAACCACTAAGCTATATGGCCATAAGCAAATGTCACTACACATTGACTACATATACATAGGTATACATTTAAATCCTTGGATAGATTTTGAGAGGTTTATCAGTGTATTGACTGGGAGGTTGTTGCTCCAGGCCATATTTTGAGGCCGTTAGACCATAAGCCTATATAATACAGGTGGGGAGGCACTGGCCTAGTGGTATTACCACTGGACTATTAAAGCACAGCCCCAGATAATGTCCTGGGTCTTGGGCTCGAATCCAGTAATGGCAGATGGTGGAATGTGAATTCAATAAATATCTGGAATTAAGAATCTAATGATGACTGTGAATCTATTGTCAGGAAAACCCATCTGGTTCCCTAATGTTCTTTAGGGAAGGAAGCTACCATCTTTACCTGGTCTGGCCTACATGTGACTCCAGATGCACAGCAACGTGGTTGACTCTTAACTGCCCTCTGGGCAATTAGGGGTGGGCAATAAATGCTGTCTAGTCAGCAACGCCCTCATCGCATGAATGAACAAATAAAGGATATAGGAGCAGAATTAGGCCATTCAGCCCTTTAAGGCTGCTGCAACATTCAATCATGGCTTGTATGTTTTTCAAACCAATGGTCCTGCCTTCTCCACATAACCTTAGATCCCCTTACCAAACAAGAAATTATCGAACTCTGTCTTAAATACATTCAACGACTTGGCCTCCACTGCCCTCTGCAGCAATGAGTTCTACAGATTAACCACCCTCTGGCTGAAGAAATTCCCCCTATCTCAGTTCTAAAGGGTCACCCTTCATTCTAAAGCTGTTCCTCGGGTCCTAGCCTCTCCTACTAGCGGAAACATCTTCTCCATGTACACTCTATCCAAGTCCTGTCTCAATGAATGTGGCAACCAAGCTGCAGATACTAAATGGGTGCTCCACAATAGTTCTTTTGTTCTCAGTCACAGACATTTCGACTGGTTAGGTTACAAGTTTCAGGTGCAGATAGAGAGGTCCTGGAAGGGGAGTGAGGTTGGCAGGTGAACCCAATCCTGGCCAACAGCAGTGTGACTCCCAGATCCCAAGGGCTGCTCCTGCTTCTCCAGGTCCACAAAAGGTATTTTAACCTTACATTTTAAGGGTCTCATTAGCTGGACTGTTAGCTGGTACTGGAAAGACAGCCATCAATGAGAAGCTTCAACATGCAGTCCCCTGAATCCACTAACACTTCCCAAACCCTCTTCTTGGGGTTGTACACAAACTATGTGTGGTAGCTTTTACTTATTGTCACAGTATTCTCCAGAGGAAACTGTGGCAAAACGTCTAGGGATGAACCCCTTCAAAATCTGGTCAAATTGGATTTGATACGAAGGTAAACCAAGTTTAGCTGATCAACAAAGACTATTGGGTTTTGAGGTGTGGGATGGCTTTACATATAATTCAGTCCATTAACTTTTAATTTAGTGTAATAGTGAACTACCTGCAGAGATCTGTTATTTACACAGTTGAGGTTCACGTTATTTCAGTGAGTGCTCGATGTTTTCTATTTTATTTAACTGTGGTAATGGCATTAGTGATAATCTAATTTTCTTATCTGTAGATGGACAGGGCTCAATACCAGTAATCTGGTTTCAAGCATCTTTACCATCTTATTGTGTTGAGGTTTGCAGGATTCTAACATTCACCGAAAATGTTTTTTTCAGACTTAGTAATGATGCTCCACAAGAAATGAATGTACTAATTATGTCACAGAACCTTAATCCCGATAGAATGCCTTATTCACAATATATATACATAGATTAATATCACATTATAAGAACAATTTAATTTGAACCAAACAAATCCATTATTTACTAATTAGAAAGATAGTAATTAAACCATTAAATCTCAGCATTTAGATACATGATCATAATAAAGGATAAGAATTACTGAAGAGAATTAAAGACGATTACAATTATACTGCCAGATTTCAGAAAATTAAATGTTAATGTTGGGAGAAGAAATCACAAAGGATTAATTGGAAAACTACATTAATGTAATTGAAGAGGAATTGCTTTTAGAAGGGAATGAGGAAAGGCGCAATTAAAATGCACACCACTGAGAAACAAAAGAATAAAGGCTTGAATTTACAAAACTCGGTAACTGGTACAAAGTCTGTAATGGTCTAAGGCTACATCCGACCTATGCCCACAGCTCAATCTTACAAAATATTTAGAATATTGAACATGGTTTAAAAATGTGTTGATCAAACTATGTTACCATATCCAGAAAACACTTCCCAAACTTTTTAGCAGAAAAGATTTACAAGTGTGTTGCCAGGAATGGAGGGATGAGTTATAAGGAAAGGCTGGATAAGCTGGGACTTTTTCACTGGAACGTAGGAGGTTGAGGGGTGACCTTACAGAAGTTTACAAAATTGTGAGGTGCATAGATAAGGTCTTTTCCCTAGGCAGGGGAGTTCAAAACTAGACAGCATAATTTTAAGGTGAGAGGAGAAAGATTTAAAAGGGACCTGATGGGCAACATTTTCACACAGAGGGCAGTTCGTATCTGGGATGAGCAGCCAGAGGAAGCAGTAGATGCAGACACTGTTACAACATTTAAAAGACATTCAGACAGATACACGAATATGAAAGGGTTAGAGGCTTATGAGCCAAACTCAGGCAAATGGGACTAGTGTCGTTTGGAAAACGTGGTCAGCATGGACAAGTTGGATTTCTGGGCTGTTTGACTCCATGACTAAGACACAGCAGATGAACAAAAAGGCCAAGAGAAGCGATCATGTACTTCAGTTATGGAGATGTGTCTAGTAATTGTTCAAATCTGCAATCTCACTCCAATCTGTGCGGTGTCCTCTAACCTCTACAATATGCCATTAATTAAAAACCCGTATGATCATGCAACACAACCAATGTGGTTCAATTACGGACACCTGGCACCTACTTCAAACAAATTTGAAATGTTTACAAATAACTAAACCAATCTGAAGAAAAAGCAGTATTTTTAAAAATGCTGATAGGTTGTTGCCAGTGTTGGGGGCTGTTGGTTTAGCTCAGTTAGCTGGACAGCTGGTTTGCAATGCAGACTGACACCAGCAGCTTGGATTCGATTCCTGCACATGCTGTGATTACCATGAAGGGATTCTCCTCTTCAGCTTCTCCCTCTTGCCTGACACATGATGACCCTCTGGTTAAACCACCACCAATCATCTCACTCCAATGACAGAGCAGACCATAGTGACTTTACCTTAAGAACAGGGACAAGACACTCTGCATCCAAAAGGATAAAAGCCCAATGTGTTTTGCAATTCCAAGAATGGTCATGAGAAAAAATAGCCTGTGGTTCCACTGGGCTTCAAACAGATCCATTAGAAAGGAGCAGCAGGCTGGTGAAATAGTTAAAGGAAAAGCAGTTTCTGGTGGTCACCACTTCCTGCTGGAACACCCCACTCTTATGGCCTACACATCAATATGAAAGTTACCAAAAATAACATTGTAAAGGGCCTTTTCTTGACAGGAACAGGTTGGTTTCTTAACTTTCTCTCATTCTGTGAGTACAGCACCAATTATTCAAATCTCTCATTAGAATCATATTCTATCTCTTTATCATTCAAGTGACCCTACTTTGAATTGATTTCTTGGACTCAGTATCCCTTCTGTAATGGGGTGTCCACTACTGCACAAAATACTCTGTTGGGACTGAATGAGAACGTCAATGAAAAACTGCCCAGAGTACCATCTGATTTACACTCCCTGGTTTTGCGAAACGTTGAAAATCAACACGATTCCAAATCTGTTGCTCAGATTCATCATTGTCTCTTTTTGTTTGCTCAAAGCCTTTCTTCAAAGTTGCATATTTTCATATTTGTCTACATCTGCAATTTTCCTTTTAAAGATCCATATTCAATCAGTGTTAAGTTGCTTTATTCCCCTAGTCAATTGAGAATGTTATTATTAAGACTATATTTCACACTTTTCCTGCTCACTTAACCTCCCTACTTTTGTATTCAATTCTCTTCACAATAAATATAACGTCCAATAGATTTCTTAATTAATTGCTGTACCTGCATATTAGCCTTTTATGATTCATGCTATGGGACACCCGGGTCATTCTGTATCTCAGTGCTCTGAAATCTTTCACCATTTATATAATATACTTTCTTTTTATTCTTGCAGCCCTCCTTTCACCTCTTTCACCCATCTATATGGGAACTGGCACCTCTGAAGGTCAGTCTGCCAATCTCTCCATGCTGGGGGCTTCCTATGGACTTTGCAAGACTGCTCACTGTCCTTAATTAGATGGTGACTGTGATTACTGACTACTAATTGGCCTACACGTCGAAAATCATGTCTGGCATCATGTGCCATTGTAATGGGTGGGTGGAACCCTGAAATGCAACTGTCATGGGGATCGACCCAAGAAAAATATTCAATCCATCGTGTCTGCCATTTTGTACATTAACATTTCTGCACACACTTCCAATGTGAGCTTGCACTGGAAATGATTGTAATTAAAGAGGTATTTTGGTACTACATAATGTATAGGACCAGTACAATAGGTCAGGCAACTGTGTGTCTCCTAACCAATCAAATTGAATAATTACTAATTAACCACAAAGAGTTTCATCCAAGAACAGTAAATTAAAACATTTAATTCAATGTGAAATGTTGCTGTCTGGTACGCTTTAATAATGAGGAGCATTATTAGCGTTATTTGTTACATTTATCATGAATCACAGCTCATTATCTTTTGGGGGAAGAAAGTAAATTGCCAACTGAATCCCATTAATATTTTACTTTTATTTCCAGTGGATAGATGGATATTGTGCACGTAAATACACAAGCCAAAAGAAAGCTAAATCTTCATCAAAGTCTCCACTAATAGAG